TGGCATCTGTTCCAATTCAATTCAATCAAATGGCACCCATCAGCTGAGCCCGCCCGCAGCACTAAAGTTATTCCGTTCTATTTTATGGCGTTTATTATATTTATTATTAGAAGTGCCCTGTAAGAGTGCGGGTGAAAGTGGGAGCCCGGATCCGAGAGCGACAATTGTCCTGGTGGTGTCAGCGCAAAGACATTAGGCCGCATTATTTAGGCTTTGGCTTTACATAATCCCCGTTTGTCTCCTGTCGCCAACGGCTGTCGGCTGTAACTCCTTGGGAGAATCTCTAAGGGGTGGTGGAAATGTGCGTGTCGTGCCGGGAACCCAGACCCTGGAAAACCAGACACTGGCAAACACAAACACGTCAATGCCATAAGCAGCCGGCAGCCACCACATCCGGAACAATGAGCCGGCAAGCAGGCGGACGTGGGACCGCCAGGACCTCCTTATCCCCATCCTTATCCCCATCCTCATCCCGCATCCCTGGCAGGATAAATTAACAGGGCAGAAAAGATGGCTAGGATGGGGCCACAAGCCATAGAGCGTTTGATGAAAAATGCCCCGTAAACCTCGATGTCGCCTCATTGAGAGGCGAAGAATACGGAGTGGGCGCAACAGCAATCAACAGGAAAAGTCCCCAAGTCTCCTTATGATAAATTCATCGATTTGCGACTGCTGCTGTGAGATTTGTTGAACTATGGGCCATCATTTGTCAGGGTGTCCAGAATGCCGGGGGGTGGGAGAGATGGGAGAGATGGGAGAGCTGTTTATGAATATTCAATCGTGTGCCAAGTTTATTGTGGGAACGATTCGATTATCCCATCGTTATTTCCCCGAACTAGATAAGTTGTTCTGGCTGGTGGCGACCAGCATGGGGAATGGTAATAACGGTTTTGACCGCCCGCTCGTGAAGATGATAACGAATGGCCCACACCCAATTAGTCGGGGGATAGTCTCCAAAATGTTACGCCGGATTAATGGCCGTCACTTGTCGAGCGCCATACGGCGAAAGGCTCATCACTCGGGGGAAAGCGGAAAGACCTGCTCTTTCACAGCCATCGGCATTGTCTGAGTCGCCTGGAGGGGCTTTAATCAGCTCTTTATGGCCGAATCTCCTTCATTCCCAGGACCCCACGCACACGTCCGCCGCATCGAAAGTGAAATTTGCGTGCGGTTTTGATTGTTTGCACCCCCTGAACCCGTGGCCGTGCCATCGCCATCATCATCATCATCATCATCGTCGTGGGAGGGTCGAATTCCTTCTTCCTGCCCATCAAAACAAGCGGCCCAGCCACTCAACGGACATCCATAGTGTTTGTGCCTGTGACCCAGACGACCATCATCCTGCCCATCCCCCTCCAGCCAGGTCAAGAGCGTGTCGTGAATATTTATACCTATTTGATGGGAGTCTCGCAGGGGCGGATGAGTGTGCGGGTGCGGATGCCCGAACATCTGCAAGTTTGATTGGATCAACTCCCTGGATACGGACGAAAACAAAATTTATCGTTTAGCGGACACTATAATTGAGCGGCCGACGCCATAAGTTGGCCAAACCAGCAGATGTCGCTTGGATTGGCATGTTATGACCCAGTTTTTTTTTTGGCATGGGGGCATAGTCAAGGCCGGACTGCTCACCTAGGAGTTCCGGACTGAGTAATCCTCTGTCGAAAGTGTTCGAGGCTGCCAGTTGCAGTTTGCCAGCAAAGATACCACGCACACACATCCTCATCCTCATTTTCATACTCATCCTCAATCTCATCCTCATCCTGGAGCTGTGGAACTTTCTGCCGGTCTGGCATAAGAAGTCATGAATAAAAGAGAAAGGCAACGACAACCCATCATCATCATCATTGGAGCCTCCGCATCCACCACGACCGCAGCGCATCGAGAAGTTCGTCTTGTCGGGGGCGTCCTCGGATGAGATTGGTTCATGTCAAAGTCGCCGCACAACTATCTACGACTCCGGCAAGAATATAAAATAAATTAAATAAAAGCCAAACTAGACGCGGTCCGGTAACGATGTCGTGTGTATCTGGTCAGCAGTGCTACCCAGTGTCGCCAGCAAGGTCCTCCAATCAGGAGGTCAGCTCAGGGGACCAACTTCCTGCTGGGTATTCCACATTCGACTACTCCGGGGTGGCGTCGTAGCTGCCGCTTGATTATAAGGATGTGTCTCGCATGTTTTCTGGGCAGGCGGGCCAGGCCCAGCCTTTGCTGGAGGACTCGCCATAAATTAAATTACCCAAAAACCCAAAGCAGATTTGCTACGAGCCGGCTGACAACAGCTCGTTTAGGGCCATACATCTTTCCGAATACGGATCTTCCGGGCTATCCCCTGCCCGGGCTCCACGAGGAGATGGGGATCGGGGATTTGGGGATGGTGATGGTGATGCGGATACGGATGGGGATGGGGCGTCGTCTTGAGGACTTTTCTGCATACGACGGCAGTTTTGCTGGCTGTCTGTCAGTGCACACTTGCCGTGCCAAAGTTAAAGTTATGTGCATGAATAAAACAAATTGCAGCTTTTCGCTCCGCTTCATTACTCTGCGCCTCTGTTTTGGACAATTTCTTAACTTGGCTGCCAGCTCATAGCCATGAAAAATTGATGGGAATTTTTGTTCGCACTCTGCATAATACAATGTTAATTAGAATTCCAATTACTCATGTCAATTACCATTAGGCTAATATAAAAGATGAATTTAAAATATTAAATTAGATCAATTATATAACCATATATTAGCGTGGGACGATGTGGGGATCTTCAAATTGTAGGGTTGTACTAGCGCCTTATATGTATAGAAGAAGAAAAATAATATAATAATTTTGTATATAAGGTGGAAAATCAGTATTTAAAATCAGTTTTATAGATTCTTCGAACAGCATGAAATGATTACGAATGCAGATTCTAGAGATTCTTCCACAGCGCAAGATTATTTCAGCAGGGTTCCACGCCCACTCTTACGCCCACAAACGTATAAAAAGCCTGTTCAACGCAAACGCTTTAAAATCGACGCTAGGTGGCGTAGTGGCGTGGTGTGCAACCGTTTGCAAATGCAAGTTCCTAACTGTCTATTCCGAAAGGGCTCGGTATATAAGGCGCTTAATATACACAGTGTAATGCCCTTGGGCGGCAAGTCTTAACAAAACCTATAATATTAATGTAATTTAGATATATCTCGTTTATTTCATTTTCGGTTTCCAATACCTATTTTTCTTACTACCTTATAATGTAAAACCAATTTAAATTTACAATACATGTTTATTGATTTAAAAATTAATCGTCCTTTAATCATGCCTGCAACTTTCTTACTTTATTAATAAATCGTACTTGTTTTAACTACAAATATAACTAGATTTAAAAATTCATACTTGATTGTAGACCGAAAGGTTCTAAAAACGTACTGATATCGAGTATTTGTATACCCGTTACTCGTAGAGTAAAGGGTATACTAGATTCGTCGGAAAGTATGTAACAGGCAGAAGGAAGCGTTTCCAACCCCATAAAGTATATATATTCTTGATCAGGATCACTAGCCGAGTCGATCTAGCCATGTCCGTCTGTCCGTCTGTCTGTCTGTCCGGATGAACGCTGAGATCTCGGAAACTATAAGAGCTAGGCTATTGAGATTTGGCGTGCAGATTCCTGAGCTTCTTACGCAGCGCAAGTTTGTTTCAGTAGAGTGCCACGCCCACTCTAACGCCCACAAACCGCCCAAGCCTGTGACGCCCATAATTTTCATGCTAGATAAAATTTGCCACGCCCACTCTAACGCCCATAACGCCGGTAGGTGGCGCAATTTAATCTCGCTTCGCTGCTTGCATATCTCCATTTAGCTGAGTGACGGGTATCTGATAGTCGATGTACTCGACTATAGCGTTCTTCCTTGTTTGTCTTAAAAACTTGAAAGCTGTACTTTGTTGTCGAGATTGGGACTTGCCATACTTAGCGAAGTACTTGATTCAAGCACCAAGTGCTTGATTTTTTCTCTGAGTGTAGACTATATTACCCCTACGATTTATCGCTTTTTTCGTCTATACAAAACGACTCAGTCTAATGTACATACATGTACATATATGCATATACAGCTGTAAATTGCGACGTTCACGCTTTTTTAATGGTTTAATCTGCGCTTTGAACATAAAACGTTTGCTTAAATTGTAAAAAAGTGATTGATGTTGGTTGTTTCAATTAATTTATAACAAGGATGATAAAAAAGGACAAAAACGTATATATTTTATAAAGAATGGGGAAAGACAAATACCTATGGTAATAAGTAGGCAAATACCGAAATAATTATAACTGCGAAAACATATGGATAACATACTCAGATAAAACGAAGCTGTAAATATTTTAAAGCTTAGCTGCTGGTATATTACTAAGCTTACTATTAAACTTCATTACTGATTACTGTTCAATTGAGTGTTAATAAATGTGAAAATGGATGGTGATGAGATAATTGTTATAAGTAGCTAACTAAACTGAGTGCTCTTTGGGGACGTTTAGCATGGGACAGTCTATGTCTGGGGCCTTTCTAGCTAAACACCGTTCAGGAGAACCCCGTTCCAGTACTTCCACTTTAAAAAAATCATCATGCCCCTCTTTTTCGTTCAGGGTGTGGTGGTTTGTGCCCGTAATTGTGGACTCAGTTGATGCGAGCACTCGACAAGGCGAGTAACCGAGAACCGAGAACTGAGACCACCACTTCATGCAGGACACCTCCAGCTCCATAGTGACAGGCGGATGGACCCACATCCAGGTCATAAGCGGCTTGTCCCCAACTTAACTGTCACCTTTCGGTGCTGTTCCGAGCTTGCAATTAAAACTCCCACTTGGGGCCCCATTAACTGTGGACGAAAGCAGCTGCAAAAAGCGTTTCGAGTGGGCGCCATGCTCGTCGCCCCCGTGGAAATGGTATTAAGGGAGTTCCACTTAATATACAAATACTCACCCATAGGGGGACTCCTGCTTTAATAATCGAAACTGCATAAGTTTTACTCTGTTTATTAGCGGCAACCTTAGGAAGTTCAATTGAAACACCGATAGACTAGCGTCTGAGTTAGTTTACGAGTACGATCAAAATCACAAGTAGGTAAAAAAAATACATACTTCCCTTAAAAAAAAACACACACACGAAGTGACTTTATGGTACATATTTACACCGATCCTCTGGGCGAGTCCTTGAAGAGTCCTGGGCGAGTCCGGGCGAGTCCCGAATAGCTTACAGCTGAGGACTGTCGGCGGCGGCGGCGGCGGCACAGTTGGTGGTCACCACCGAATTGAGGAGCTCGTGGCGCGAGCGACTCCGCCAGGTGCCTATGCCCATGGCCAGGCCGGGATTGAGACTGATGTTGGTGTTGGCATTCGCATAGGCACCTGGACCCGGGCCCGCCTGGCTGGCGGACAGTCCGAAGGCGGCACCGCCACCAGCACCGCCTCCACGGCGCCAGGGCAGCCCCTTGAAGGTGTCCACGAAGGCGCGCCGGAAGCTGGCGTTCATGAAGCAGTAGGTGATCGGGTTGCAGCAGCTGGAGGAGTAGGCCAGCAGCTGCAGGAAACTGATGGCCGTGTAGTCCACGTACTCGTACACCACCGGCCCAATGAGCATGACCATCGTGTTGATCACATACAGTGGCGTCCAGCAGATGAAAAACTCCAGCACCAGGACGAACAGCATCTTGACCACTCGCTTTTTGCTCTCCAGGGTCTTGGCCTCGTTGGATCTAAGTTGGTTACAAAATACCGGTGAGAACGGTAGTGGCAGTGGCAGTCCGGGGATCCGCCTTGAATCGTACCTGCGAAGGGCCGCATCATGGATGCGGATGCTTGGCGAGGAGGTCTTGGCCAGCGTCACCGTCGTCGTGGTGGTGGTGGTGATCACAGTCGGAGCAGTCGTTCTGGTTGTCAGAGTTGTCGTGGCTGTAGTAGCTGCTCCGCCAGCAGATCCCTCTGCATTACTATTGTTGTTGTTACTGTTTTCTGCAAAGACAACATACCAATAATAATATTTCAAATAAATGTATTTATACTCTTTAAATGGTTTTATATATAATACAATATGAATTCCTTTAATGCATATATGTATATTCTGAATCAGACCAGTCGTTTCTCCTTTAACTAGTCTCTCAGTTTTCAAACTATCTGCAGATACAAATGTCAAAAGTTTCCTTTCTATCGGACATAGGAATGACATAGGAATGATCAGAAAACTGAAAGAAAACAAGAGAGAGCTCTAAAGACCAGTGCCTTGACTATCGGATACCCCTTACTTTGTTACCCTATACATACCTACAATTTTTATTCCATTATTGTACATTTTCAACCTTTCTTGAAGAAAAATAAATAGTTTTCACATCTGCTTAGAGTTTTGGTATGTCTTTATAAGTACGCCACCTTACTCTACAACTTTTAAATTTTAAAAAAATATTGGTTTGCGCCAATAGCTCTAGTATTTAACTCCTGCTTTTAATCTTTTGAAAAAGCAACATTCAAAAAAGGAATCGTTCGTCACTATACCCTACACTCCCCTATATAAATGTTATATATGTACATATCTGGACTACTTGATATTACTCACTTATTAACCATAAAGTAAGATTATATTTTCCAAGTAAGTAATGGGAATAGGTGTCATATAGTTTCGATATTTTTTCACATAATTCTGGCAGACTTTTTAAAGCTGCGGTTACCTACCGTTATAGACTGCCGTGGCGGTGAGGACCAGAATGCAGTTGCTGCTGCCGCTTGTGCCCGGAGTGGGTCCGCCTCCGCCGGCCGTTCCTGCGGATGCGGGTACTGATTGCTGCAGGATCCGGCCACTGTCCTTGGCCATGCCCACGTAGAGGGTCCGCGTGATGAGGATGTAGGCCACGCAGAGCACCAGCAGCGGCAGGACGAGCAGCAGGAAGTCCAGCAGGATGTTGTAGAAGAGCTCGTAGCCTTGGTCGGGCCAAAATTCGCGGCACTTGCAGTAGCCTGTGAGCGATGGAGGTGCATAACAACTGGGTGGGCCTTTCCAGGGTCAGGCGCGTACTCACCGGGTCGGCTGGTGGGTATCAATTGACTGAAGATCGCTATGGGGGTCATGCACAGAATGCCGCCCAGCCAGATGAAGCCGATGATCTTGTAGGCGTGGCTGATCGTCTGCCAGGATCGCGAGCGAAGCGGATGGCAAATGGCGTAGTAGCGCTCGCAGGATATGGCCACCAAGGTCCAGGAGGAGACGGCCACGGAGGCGGCTGGAAGAAGGAGCACGGAAACGGTTAAGTTGAAACATTTAAGGATGGCGTACACCACGACCGCACCCTGCCGTGCGGAAATGTCTCCGTGTCGAGCTCCGTGTCAAATCGCTTTCATTAGAAAGTCCTTTTGCCCGCACTCGCTGCATTTTAATTACACAATTTGCATATTAAAACCAAACGGGCTCGCTCACTTCACACTTCTGTGTGTTCTTGGCCAGAATGTGGCAAACAGAACACGATGCAATTTGCGGAAACTGCAATTAAACAATTCCCTCGCCACTCCTTTTCTTCTGCCCAGTCTCCCGTTTGTCCGCCTGACATGTAAACCTATTAGTAGAGTCCCCATTGTAAAGCAATTTACTGTCACATTCTCCCCGGCCCACAAATTCCATGGGGTGCGATTTTCAATGGCAAATATCGATGGTATTGTATGCAAACAAGTATAGCTGCACATGTATGTGCATTAGGGTGGACCTATGAAGGAACTCCAAATCGGTCAATTTGGTCATGTCGGTCTTGTCTCACTAAAACACCAACCATACGCTGTATAATACGGTTTCTTAAATATGATTGTAATACGATAATATGGTTTCAGTGGAAGAAAGTCCCAATAAAATATCCAGGAAAACATTTCAAGCACAAGACGCTTTGGGGCCTAAGCCAAAGTTATATTTATTTTAACAGCCAGTTTTTGTTAAATCAAGATAGAACGATATAGGCGAGCTCTTTAACTATACTCTAATAGCCTATTTAACTTATTACCTGATGGTCAAATTTAAAGCATTCTTAGTATGCCGATAGATATTAACGAAAAACAAGAAAGGAAGCTAGCTTCGGTACGCAGTAGTTTCTATACCCATGCTGGTCCTACACGTGGGAGTATTGTATAAACACCCCGCATTTTCCACTTTTACAAAATCAAACAAGGAAGAACGCTATTGTCGAGTACCTAGACTATCAGATACCCGTTACTCAGCTAAATGGAGATATGCAAGCAGCAAAGCGAGATTAAAATGCGCCACCTACCGGCGGTATACAGATTTAAACGTTATGGGCGTTAGAGTGGGCGTGAAAAATTTTTCTTTTCTTGGATCTTGGATCAATCGATAGGTATTGACGAGACCAATACATTTCAGTTAAAAGTTTTTATCTAGCATAAAAATTGTGGGCGTCACAGGTTTTTGCGGTTTGTGGGCGTTAAAGTGGGCGTGGTCAACTTTTTTTTAGGTCAATCGATTGGTATTGAAGAGAACATTACATTTAAGTTAAAATTTTTATTCTAGCATCAAAACTGTAGGAGCCACAGTTTTGGGCAGATTGTGGGCGTTAGAGTGGGTGTGGCACTCTACTGAAACAAGCTTGCGCTGCGTAAGAAGCTCAGGAATCTGCACGCCAAATCTCAATAGCATAGCTTTCATAGTTTCCGAGATCTCAGCGTTCATCCGGACGGACAGACAGACAGACGGACATGGCTAGATCGACTCGGCTAGTGATCCTGATCAAGAATATATATACTTTATGGGGTCGGAAACGCTTCCTTCTGCCTGTTACATATTTTCCGACGAATCTAGTATACCCTTTTCTCTACGAGTAACGGGTATAAAAATGTAGGCGTTTGTGAGCGTTACCGCTGGCATGGCACCCTGCTGAAATAAGCTTCGCTGCTTGTATAGTAATCTGTTATCTCAGCGTTCATACGGACAGACGGACTTGGCTATATTCACACCAACATAAAAACCGAAATTTAAAGTAGCGGTGGTTTTCACAAAAGCCAAAATGATTTCAGTGAATATTTTTTTAAGCTCCGAAAATAGTCTAGTTATGGTAAGTCGAAACTCGACTTGAACGCGGGTGCCACGGAAATCTCTTCGGGCTGTATTCGGGAAAAACATCCAGTGTGCCAAAAAGTTAAAAAATTCAATGTACCATATCTAAAAAGTTTCATTTTTGTTCTGGTTTTCCCACAGTTCATATCAACTTTTCTCTACTCGTTTTACTCCAACACAAAAACCAAAATTTTACGCAGTAATAATTTTAAAAAAAACCAAAATGATTTTAGTGAACATTTTTTCAAGCTCGGAAAATCAGTCAGGATATGGTAAGTTGAAAGTTCGACCTAAATGCGGAAGACACGGAAATCTGTTCGGGCGGAATTCGGGAGAAACATGTAGTGTGCAAAAAAGATTACATATTCAGTGTAGAGTGCCATGACTTTCCATTCATTCGAACTTGGGGGTGCCATGTCTAGATGCTTTCATTTTTGTGCTGGTTTCCCAACAGTTCATATCAATTTTTCCTTGCTCATTTTACTCTAACTTAAAAACCGAAATTTTACGCTGTGATAGTTTGTACAAAAATCGAAATATTTTAGTGAACGTTTTTCCTAGTTCAGAAAATAATCAAACCATGGTGAGTGTAAAATTTGTATACCCGTTAATCGTACAGTGAAAGGGTATACTGGATTCGTCAAAAAGTATGTAACAGGTAAAAGGAAGCGTTTCCGATTCATGAATCAGGATCACTAGACATGTCCGTCCGTATGAACGCTTTGATCTTGGAAACTACAAAAGCTTGATATTCGGGATTAGGCATGCAGATTCCAGAGATTATTATTACGCAGAGCAAGTTTTTTTCAGAAATGTGTCACGCTTACTCTAACGCCCAAAAACTGCGAAAGACTGGCTCCTAGACTTTTAGTGCTAGACTTAAAATTTTACCTGAAATGTATTAATCTCGTCAATACCCATCACTTGAAAAAAAATTTGGGATTGCAGACTTATATTCCAAACAGTTCATATCATTTTCATATACCAGCTATGTAAAAATAAAATGTTCTAGTTCTCTTACACCAAAATAAAATTAAATTTTCCGTGTCTTTCAGGATCCTCCTGGCTCTGCGGGTCTATCGATGCATTGATGCGTAGGTCCTGCCAGGAAAACTGCCAAGCCTGCGGCCTGGCCTCCGCCTCCGTGAGCCAATTGTGGTTGATCGCCTGGTTCTGCGAGTTAGATCTGTCGATGGGTTCCTTGGGCGATTGAGATGAATGTGGCTGTTCCTGTTGCTGCAGTGGGGCTCTTGCCCTTTGTTGATCCTCAAGTGGTGCGTTGGGCCATTCGCGCCGTTACAACATGACTTGCATTGACTTGCGTTAAAAAACGAAATTTTACGCAGGTATGTAACAGGTAACAGAAAGCGTTTCCGTTTCTTGATTAGGATCACTAGCCGAGTCGATTTAGTCATATCCGTCTGTCCGTATGTCTGTCCGTCCGTATGAACGCGGTGATCTTGGAAACTATAAGAGCTAGGCTATTGGGATTTGGCATGCAGACTCCTAAACTTCTTGCGCAGCTAAGCTTTGTTTCAGTAAGGTACCACGCCCACTCTAACGCCCACAAACCGCCCAAAACTGGCTCATACAGTTTTGATGCTAGAATAAAAATTTTAACTGATATGTATTGTTCTCATCAATAGCTATCGATTGACCAAAAAAGTTGACCACGCCCATTTCAACGGCCACAAACTTCAATAAATCGTAAATATGAACGCCGATATCTCGTAAACTATCAAAGATAGAGAATTGGGACTTCAGATTTAGATTCCGAATAGTTCATATTTTCATGTACTAGCTGTGTAAAAACATAAAATGTTCTAGTTCCTTTACACCAAAATAAAATTACATTTTCCGTGTCCTACAGGATCCTCCTGGCTCTGCGGGTCTATCGATGCATTGATGCGCAGGTCCTGCCAGAAAATCTGCCAAGCCTGCGGACTAGCCTCCACGTCCGTGAGCCCATCGTGGGTGATCGCCTGGTTCTGCGAGTTGGATCTGTCGATGGATTCCTTGGGCGATTGAGATGGCTGTTGGTGTTCCCGTTGCTGCAGAGGGACTCCTGTCCGTTGATCCTCGAGTGGTGCTTTGGGCGAGTGACCACCTGCGCCGTTACAAATTTCTTGCGTTGAGACCTCCGAGGACATGCATTTACGGTCACTATGTTCTGCATACCTGGGCCCGAAATCAGATTCATGACGAGATTCTCTGATGTATCCGACCTTCAGATGCCACCAAAAGTACACAATCTTTGAGCACTACTGGGATATTAGATCTCTGCTTTCTTCGTCGATATAGAGTTCGATCATCTCGTTCGGTCAGAGGTTCGTCACGAGATCGGGATCGCAAGGATCCACAGGGTTGCGATTGACGATAGAGTGCCGTTTAGCGCAACCCTGTGGATCCCTGCGATCCCGATCTCGTGGCGGACCTCTGTCCGAACGAGACGAAAGAACTGTACATCGACAAAGAAAGTAAGGATCCAATATCCCAGCAGTGCTCAAAGAGTGCGTACTTCTGGTGGCATCAGAACAGAACAGAACAACAGAATGGCGGAACTGGCTAGACTAGCGGGTTTTGTCAATTTCTATTGTGTTGAGACGAATGAATAAATTTTAGAAAGTGTATTCTATAAGTGTTGTATCCTTAAAAATTATCGTTACTTTTTTAATAATTTTAAAGCTGATGAAAAATAAATTGATTACTTTTTGAAAATCTAATGCCAATGAAAAATCAATTCTTTATTTTGAAAACAGTAATGCTAATAGCAAAACCAAGAGATAACGCTATAGTCGAGTGCCTCGACTATCAGATACCCGTTACTCAGCTAAAGGGACCAAAGGAAGATGGAGATATGTAAGCAGCAAAGCGAGACTGTGATGCGCCAGCTACTTTAAAACTATGAGTGCCACAGTTTTAGGAGGTTTGTGGGCATTAGAGTGGGCGTGGCACACTGACAAGACAATCTTGAGCTGCGCAGGAATCTCTTGAATCTTGTATTGAGACGAACGAATAAATTTTAGAAAGTGTATTAAGTCAAATTTAATTGAATTTAATTTTAAATGCCAGGGGCAATTCCAAGGAACATCTTATCAGATCGAAGAACTATGAGCTAGAGAGTTGGGATTTCAAATTACGATTCCTTAGCTTCTCATTCAGCGCAAGTTT